AATTCCAAACTCCCAGAAGAGAAGCCGATGTTCAGCATAAGCCATATTGTTTGTACACACAGTTTAGACCCTGAATCAGCTACTCATCAGTTAATGGTTAGAACGCTCCGAAAAACCTCTGTTCCCAGATACCAGCCCAGGGCCAACTTTATAAGCAGGCCCTTCGAAGGATAACAGTCAGGATGGCTGTGGTAACTGTTCTGCACGGGTAGGAAGATTATCATCATCCCCACTTTGGAGATGAAGAATCTGAAGACAGGAAAGTGAAGTAACTTGCCTCAGGAACCACAGCCAGTACGTGTCCCACCCAGGCCAGCTGGTTCCAGAGCCCATGCACCTAGCCATTCTCCAGTGCCACCTTCTTGATTATTCAGACAGGCATTGGTAGGAGTTTGCAGGGGACAAAGGAATCCTGGGATGAGGGGCAGCTGTGCAAGGCACAGAGAGAGCTTAGTGTCTTGGAGAGATGGCTCAGACGTGGGGGGGCGGGGGGCCTCATGGAGATGCATGTAAGTGAGGGTCAGCAATGGAGGGCCTGGAGTTACAGGAAGACAAGGTTGTACTTCTCCCTGTGAGCATGGGGCCCGAGGAAGGCAGAAGGGAGGGGCCAGTAGTTAACATTATAGGATTGGCCTTTTACAAGGATCACTATCACCTGGAAGACCCAGTTCATTTTTTTGTTTCTTTGTTCATTCATTTGTTAAAATGCTAGCCCTAGAACTAAGTCTTTTTGTGGTCTTGGCCAAATCTCTGACGCCTTGCACACCTTGGGGCTGTCGGCTACAGAATGTGGGCGCAATGCCTGGCCTGCTCTACCGCATGGCTGTCCCAGGGCTCTGAGGGTGAAGCACGGGCCAGGACAGCAGGCTCATGCTGAGAAGATGGGCTGCTGAGCGGGGCAGTCTGAAGGACTGGGCACTGCAACTTTCCAGCCACTTCCTTCCCAAAAGCTACTTGTTCTGTCCTTGGAAGGCGAGCTCTGCCGGCCCCGGGCTGGAACTGGAAGCCCCTGCTTCAGGCAGCTCGGGGGCCTTGCCCGTGGCCTCCTCTGAGGCTTAGAGGGGAGCTGGTCCCCTCCCCACGCTAAAAAGAGCCGTAGGAGCAGTATTGTGCTTAGCTGTGCCCCCCTCCAGGGACTGCGCCCCTCTTTCCCGAGAGGCAGTGGGGGGCAGTGAGGTCGGAGAGATGTGCTTTTGAGTCCCACCCCTACCCTTTGGTTGCTGTATGATCTTGGGCAGTCACTCAGCCTGTCTGGGCCTCAGTTTCTGTATCTGAAAATGAGAACAGTACCCACCGGTGTGAGGGTCACGAGACTCCAGCGTCCATCCCGGAGTTCCCAGCCGCAGTGAGCCGGAGACTGTGCACGACTGTGACCTAAGGAGGCCTCAGCAGCTAGGGTCTCCATTAGGAAACGCTCGTAGCTTTTGTTTTTCAGAAGAACTGGAACCTCAGAGTTGGGAGCAGGCGATGGACAGGAAATTGAGGGGATAGCATTGAACTGGGAGTCCAGATGCCTGGGTTTTAGTTTCAGCTCTGCCACTGACTTGCTGTGTGCGTGGGAGCAAAATACCTGTCTCTCTGGGCCTCAGTTTCCTCAGCAATCACCTGGGGTCCAACTGACTCAGAACTGAGTTTCAGAAGTACAGAACGGGGTATTTGAAAGTAGTGGTAGCCTTCTGAACTGGCAGCATTTTCAGCGAGTGCTAGTGTCCCCCCGGACGCCTGAGTTGGCGTGAGGGTGGGAGCTCTTTCGGGGGGTCTCATGCAGTCCGTCACTCCAGAAACCCTCTGTCGTGGCGCACCGCCTCTTCCCTTGTCCTAATAGGTGTGTCCTTTTAGGAGAGAATGGCCTGCTGTCTCCCTTTAAATCATCGAAGTAAAAATAAAAACCACTCTTGATCCAGACATTGGAAAATTCCACTATTAACGTTTCGATTTTAACCCTTCTGTGTTTTTTTCTCTGAATATGTTTATTTGTTTCTGCTGGGTTTTAAGGTTCACATGTGACTGTCTGAGCGCACAGTCCTAGCCTAGCGATGCAGGCCGGATTCCCAGGCGTACTTGGGAGAGTGCCATGCAACCAGCTTTGGGGCCCGGGGACAAGCTCCCACTGCCTCTGGGCCCTCTGGGCAGGGGTGGTAAGGACCTGCTCAGGCTGGGTGGGCCATATGGACTGTGGAAAGACTGGAAATTCCCTCCTGAACTAGAGGCAATTGGGGAAATAATAATAAAACACCTGTGCAAGCCTCAATTAAACACCAACTCTATGCCTGTGATATGCTTCCCTTTGTATACCCGTCATTCACAGTATTCAGCAAATATTTATTGAGTGTCTCCCACTGTGTACCAGGTACTCTTCTAGACTCTGGACACATGGGCAGAGAACAAGGCAGATAAGAGTTCTACCCTTGGGGCGCCTGGGTGGCTCAGTTGGCTTAGCCTCTGCCTCTGGCTCAGGTCACAATCCAAGGTCCTGGGATCGAGCCCCACATCGGGCTCCCTGCTCAGCGGGAGGCCTGCTTCTCCCTCTCCTACTCCCCCTGCTTGTGTGCATGTGTGCTCTCTCTCTGTCAAATAAAGAAATAAAATCTTTAAAAAAAAAAAAAGAGTTCTACCCTTACAGGACTGAAATTACAATAGGGAAAAAACACGTGTGTGTGTGTGTGTGTGTGTGTGTGCGTGCGTGCATCTAGGCCTATGTGGAAAACTAAAGCAGTGCAAGGGGCCAGGGGTAATTGAGGAAGAGCAGGGTGGGAGCTATTACAGTTAGCTATGAGAAGGGAAGGAATGGCCCATGCAGATATTTGGGGGAAGGCCGTTCAAGCAAATGACAACAAAGGCTTTAGCTGTTTGGAGTAACAGCATGGAGGCCAGTCTATATATAGCACAGAAAGTGAGGTTGGAGAGGTAGCAGGGGGCCAGATCTCGTATGCCCAGGTAAAGACCATGGTTTTATTCTCAGGGAACCATTGGAAGGTTGTGAGCAGAGAAGTAGCGCGATCCAAATTATATTGTAGCTTCCATAAGAAGAGATCATCCCAGTTTATGAATGCTCAGACAGACTCACCTGCCCAATGGCAGGGGCAGAAATGAGGCCACTCTGAAGGGCTTCCACACCCCTGCAGTTCCCCTCAGACACTGTGCGAGGCCCTGGGACCATGAACACCACCAGAACAGCCTGGGCACCAGGCAGCTCAGACCTCTCTGGAAGGGGAGGTCCCCACCACCACAGCAGGACTCACTGGTTCTGGCTGCTAAACAGTGTTGCCTTGTGCTCTCACTGTCCCCGAGGACGCTCATGAAATGACACATTGGGAAAGTATTTACAGCCCCTCCTCATTCCCATCTGTAAGGCTGGCCGGGGGACAAACCCCCAGGCTGAGCAGTGACACAGCGTTATGAGGCCCAGGGACCTGAGCTCTGGGGTCAGACAGACCCTTCAACTTTTCGAAGTGGCGGAGCCACTTGCTTACTCTGTGATAGGACCTTCGAAAAGTTACTTCTCTGAGCCTTTGCTTTGCCGACCTACAAAGCAAAGATGATAGCACTGACTTTGTAAGATTGTTGTGGGGAGTAATTAGATAATATGGTGTTCTAGAACAATGAATAAGATACGGTGGACGTAGAGTAGGTTAGCATTAGTACTTTCATAATATTTCTTAGTGTTAGTACTCATGCTACATAAATTACTACTAATATACATCAATTAGCATTAGTAATTTTTGTTCAGCCCTTCTAAATTCTTCCAGCATTACTCTGTGGGCCCTACATCCACTTTGTGAACTTAGTATCATCATCCCCATTTTACAGATGAAGGAAGTGTAAAATCGGAAGAGGTTGCAGTTCTTACACAAAGTCACACAGCAAGAAAGAGGCAGGAATGGGACTTGAATTTGGGTTCTCTGGTTCCCAAGACCTGGTCAAAGTGGGCAGGAAGGTCCCTCGCAGGGCTGGACTCAAAAGCTAGCTCTCTGCAGGTAGCCCTTCCTGGAGGTGGACACAGCAGGCTGAAGCCACACCGGCTTGTTTAACATGATGCCGTACACGGTTTTCAAGTGAGGGGGCAGCAGTCCTAGAAAATACCAGAAAACAGGATCCAGCACACCCAAGTGTGAACCATACCACTTAGCAGGCATGGCTGAGGCCAGAAAGGGCAAGTGCGTCTCTCCTCATTCTGCGTTAGAAATAGTAATGTCACAAAATGCTGCGCTGCCCTTGTTCTTGAGGGGGCCAAAGCCCCCTCCTCTGTCTTCTGAGGGGTGCCAGCCTCACCACTCAGTCATCACTGAGGTCCCTGCTCTGCGGAAGCACCTTGGCCCTCTAAATGTCATCAGCATCAACCTGGGGGCTTGTGAGAAACGCAGATCTTCAGGCCCCACCACCACCTCCTGACTCCGAATCTTTGGGGGTGGGCCTCCGCAAAGCGCAGCTCTCCAGATGATTCTGATGCCTACTTGAACTTGAGAACCACTGCTTGAGAAGAAAATGGCCCCAAACGCTTGTCTTTTTTTTTTTTCCTTTGGACTCACAAAGTATCTTCAGCTGTTGTTTAAACAGACGTACACCGTCTCAAGTAGAGAAAGCACAGGCTTTGGAAACAGATAAACCTGAGTTCAGACTCCTGAATTTAGCCTCACTAGCTGGTAACCTTGGCAAATCCTGTCACCTCTCCACATGTCGGTGTCCTCGTCTGTAAAATGGGGGCATGCCTTCCTAGCCTATTTTGAAGATTTGAGATGAATGGATGTAACATGCCTAGCTCAGTGCCTGAGACATCATCAGTCTTGATCAGGGGAAGCTGTGATTGGGTGGCCACAACCGTCAGACATTCAGGTTCGTATAGAGAATGCTCCCTCTGGATGCTCTGCGCCAGGCAGACCCCTTGCACATGTGGCTTGCGCCAAGACCCATCGCCTGGCAGCCGTGTCCCGCTGGTCTCACGCACAGCTGCGCCAGACAGCTACTTTATGTGTTTCTCTACTATCCCCCTTCATCGATGCATGACTCATTGCTTCATTCATGTCTCCATTGTGCGTAGAAACCTAGGCAAGCAGCCATTCCTAGGGACATTGCAGGACAACCTCATTGAGATGGACATTCTCAGCGCCTCCCGCCATGATGGGGCTTACAGTGACGGGTAGGTGACATCCCCATGGTCCTCCTCTCTGTGTTTGCTCTCCCTCTGGCCCCTGCACCTGCATGCAGACCCTGAGACCTTTCCCTGGGATCTCCTGCGGGAGGTGATGATGTCATGGTGCATGCCCATCCCGAAGTCCATGTTCAGCTTGCAAGAGTTTATCCTTGGAATCCCCTCGCTTCAGCATATTAACAGCAGCTTTGTTAATATGCAGCTCCCAGCATCTCATCGGCTGCCTCTGCCATTCTGAAAGCCATCTCGTAGCAGTTTTTATGCAGCACAGGCCCTATGTCGTATGTCTTGTAGCCCTGAGTATCTGTTCTGGGTGCAAGATTGCTCTAAGATTTCAGGGGATGCAGTGCAACCAACCAGTGCACCCCATTTCCCAGGCTGTGTACAAATTCTCCCATGGCCATGGTTAAAGGCAAGCTGTGGAGGACTTCCTGACACCTAGTTTGGCCACAACCATGCGCTTTGACCATGCCACGCTGCCCTAAAGACTGTAGCTAGGCTGTAGGATGCATTTGCCTATCTCTCATCCCACATAGCTTTCCCCAGGGGTTTGGAAGGTAGCGTCTGGCTTCTGAAAGCATTTGCTGCCATTGGTTGTATAAGAGCCACTGGGAGACTCAACCATGACAGAACTTAATGGTGGTTTCTTGGTTCCCACCCCCTAAACACCCTTCAAAAAGAATGGTATTTCATGCCTCCACCGAGGCACACTGGCAAAGTAGGTATGGGAGGGAGAAGAAAAATTTAGGTTCCATTATCTCCAAGGCACAGAACATGATTTTAGATACTTTCCAAGTTAGCACCGATAATTTTAGAGAACAGCTCGTGTAATACCCAAGAAACAGCATCTCAGCCCCATCCCTTCCCAGGAAAGGGGTCTCCACAGCCAGCCTTCTGTGGGATTGGAAACACCTCCTGCCCTGGCCTGGGCGGGGTGGGGGGGGTTCCCCATGGGTAGGGCTGTCCCATCCGTGTTCCGTGGAAGCGTGTGTTCGTGTGCCCTGTTGTGTGGTCCGGTACGTGATTCTCCTCCTCTCCGTCTGCCCCGTCTTCTCCGTGGCGACTGTCTCCAGGCTCCTCTGCATGCTCCTACTGCCGCCTCTGTCCTCCAGGTGGCTCTGGGTCCCAGGGAGTCCGCAGACCCTGACGCCCTCGGGCTTCTCTCCGTCCACAGGCACTTCCTCTTCAAGCCGGGAGGCACCTCGCCGCTCTTCTGCACCACGTCGCCAGGGTACCCTCTGACGTCCAGCACGGTGTACTCCCCCCCGCCCCGGCCCCTGCCCCGCAGCACCTTTGCCCGGCCGGCCTTCAGCCTCAAGAAGCCCTCCAAGTACTGTAACTGGAAGTGTGCGGCCCTGAGCGCCCTTGTGCTCTCCGCCACGCTGGTCATCCTGCTGGCGTACTTCGTGGGTAAGCACCTCCCTCGGCCCAGCTTCCCTTCGTTCCCCTTCGCCCAGGGGGCAGCGACCAACACACCTGCACACGCTGCAGGCATCTAGCTGGCGCGACCGTCACGCAGGGTGAGCCATGCAACCCTGGGGCCCTGGCCTCCACCCCCGAGCCGGTCACGGCCAGCTCTCTGGGATCCTCTTCTCCTCTCTGCACGATGCCCAGAAGGAAGCTTAGCATGAGGCACAGCGTCCACTGACTGGCCTTCGAGCTGGTGAGCCAGGACGTGAGTGTCGGAGATGGGCGTCTCCACAAGTGACAGGCCCCTCGGGCTGGTGCCACGTAGCTGCAGTGAGGAGCAGGAAAGATTTGGGGTCCCCTGGGGTTGGACTGGACTCTGCTGACCTCAGCCCGGAAGGCATGTCTGAAGGTGAGGGTCTGGCAAGGCCGTCTGAGGGGACGTGGGCGCCAAGGTGCAGAGTGGAGCCGTGGTTAGGAGCCCAGAGAAATCCCAGCTGAGGAGCAGCAGGTCCCAGTGAGCAGTGAACGCTGGCTACAGGATGCATGGAGACCCCCAGCAGCTCTGACTGGCCTGCCTGCCTGCCCCCAGGCCACCTCCGTGATGGAGGAAATGCCTCCTGGCACGGGAGGCCAGTCAGCTGGGTGCTCTTTTGATGTAGTCCCCACACAGCCTGGTCTCCTGCTTCATTCCAGCCCTTGTCTTCAGCCTGCTCCCAGGGAAGACGGTCTCTGAAGAGATCTGCAGGCGTTGTGTAGAGTCGGCTGCCTCTGTGTAAATCAGCCTGTTAGTAAAGACGTCCAAAGGGGTTGGCTTAACCCTCCGTCCGTTCCAGCCTTCAAATTCTCTCATTCTGAGGTTTAAGGCAGGTCACGCCAGCTTGAGGTGGCCTTCAACCCATGCTGAGGAATTCTGAGATCATTCCATAAGCAAGGAGGACTTCTCCAGTAAAAACCCAGTAACCAGAAACAGAAGTAACTGGCACGGGCCAGAGGAAGACAGAGTGCCGTCCACCGTGGCAAGGGACTCTGTCATAGGCAGAGTCATCACGAATAAAAACGGGCAGTGTGGTGATGTGCACGCTGTCCTGGGAATGATGAAGGAAACGTGGGCCCCACTTGTTCAGGGGGAGGGATCTGAGCATGGAAGGAGCATTCAAGATTCTTGAATTTTATAGAAATAAGTAATCAGGGAGACGATAGTCGCTCAAACAGGGAGGTCTCCTTATATGTCTCGAGCTATAATAAGCCTTCTTTGATATGCCAGGTCTCTCTTCCCCTTGTGAAGATTGATGTAGAGAATTTCATGGCTCCAGGGCCAAGTTGGCATACGTCTCTTCTCTTCTCTGTGATTGGTTAGCTGTTGCTGCCTGGAAAGCTGTGTTAAGAAGGATCCTGAGGCTATATTCAAGCTCAGTGGGAAAGGGTCTCTGTGTTTGATTAGTAATGTCGGTCATGGTCACCAGCGTGGGGAATATTGATGACATACCAGGCATTTGCCATCCTTACTGTGGGTCAGTGAGTAAAAGGAATAGCCAAACTGGGAGAGGCCAGAGGCCACCCAGGCCCAGTGAGAGGTAACTGGGTTACAGGTGAGGGCCCTGAACGTCCCAGTACCATCACCCAGCATGAAGGTTTCTTCCTGGCACCTGTGCCATGTCCCTGTAAACCACTAGCACAGCTCTTGTCTTTGACTGACACTGTGTTTCCTAAATGAGCAGACTTCGGAACAAGCAGTGTCTCTGTGCATCACAAGTCAAGCCATTGGCTGCATAAAGACATCAGCTTGCGGTGCAGACTTAGGTTTCTACTACGTAGCCTGGTTCAGGAAGAAAGAATACATCTTTGTATGGTTACATAAGCTCTCTTCTGTTTTACATCCCATGGGCTGCTTCTTCTCCCATGTAATAAGAATATGGGGTCAGTCTTCAGCAATCTAAATTTAGAGAGGCTATACTGGGAGGTAGTGAGCTCCCTGTCGTAGGAAGGGTACAAATAGAGCTCAGTGACCACATAGCAAGGATGAGATTTAAGCACTGACTGGGAGTTTTCACTGGATGGCCTTTAATTTTCCTTCCAACACTGACAGTGTTTGAATCAATGATTTTGTGAATTTTGTTTTTCCTTCAGCAAACCATAACCTGCTTTGGGCTAGGCACTGTGCTAAATGTCAGGGCTAAAGATATGGTCCCTGCCCTTGAGTTGTCCGTAGCTTACAAGAGGAGACAGCTATGTCAGCAGTGAATTGAGGCAGCTCAGGGGCTATTTGGGGAATACCCAACACCAAGGGCACTAGGGGAGGCTCCCTGGGAAGGGCGATGATGCAGTCAGAGTTAACCAGCAGTACACCTGTGGAGAGCAGCTCTCAAACCCAGGGAAGCTGCAGACTTGAGCGAGGACAGTGTGGTCGTAAGGCCCTTGTCTGTGTTGGAAGCATTTGAAGGATATTGGAGCTAATGCAGGAGAGCTTGGTCAGATCGGGAAGATCACCTTGGGGCCAAGTTACAGACCTTCCTGGATGGGCAATAGGGAGTCATTGAAGGGTTTTAAGCAGTGGCAGGGTGTAGTCAGACTTTTTTTTTGGAAAGATAAGTGTAGAGGGAAGAAGGATAGGCCCTATCACAATAAACAGGTCAGGAGAAGCCGAGGGCCTCAGCTGAGAGAGTGGCAATGTAGGTGGAGAGCAGGGAGGTCGATTTAGGAGCATTTGTGTCTCCTGTTACAAGCAGTCAGTCTACTGATAGTGTGTCCTTGCCCAGAATAAACACAGCTTTCTGATAAAACCCTCCCTCTGCAGAAACATTAGGACTGGACCATAGATTGCATATCCAAGGACCAGGTCAGACTGGCAAGACCTGGGTGTTCCCTTTGTTCCCTGGAGACTCGGAGCTTATACCAAGCCTCTGACAGCCGTGGATTCCATTCCCAGCTCTGCCACCTGGCTGCTCTCCCACCTTGGGCAGCTCGCTTCTCTTTCTGAGCTTTGATTTCCTGATCTGGAAAACAAGTGTGACCCAATACTTCAGGAGGCTGCGTGTGAGGCTGGAGTAAGCCGATGCTGGTGAACGCGTCGCAGATACAAGGCCCAGCCCTACCTTCCCTCAGGGGCTGGGGTGGCAGCCTTGGTACGTGGTCTCCTCCAGCTGCTGGGGCCAAGGGATGAGTGTCTTGTTGCTTGGCCGTAATCACAGGCTGCGGTGACTAACTTGTAAGGAACTATCAATTATTAAAAATCAAATTAATTGTCTCAGCCGAGCACAAATATCCTTAACATAGACTTTTGCAGCAGGCCAACTGATCTAATCAACAGGCACAAGCACAGATATTTAATTAGATTTTTGATGAAAAATTGTGTTTAATTTCAAGTATAATCAATTATTAATTACTGTAATGAGTGAGTCTGACTGGGTTTACTAATTAACTCATTTAAAAATTATGAATAACCTTTTCATTTGTAATTATTTTCTACATCCTATCATGCTGCAGATAAGAATCGTATCACTTCACCAGTACCAGGGGAGGTGAAAACAGGGCGGGAAAGAATTGTTCTTTTTCTGCTATCTGCTCAGGGCTGCCATATGTGGAGGGAACCCTGACAGGTTCATTTGACATCTGGTTTTTAGTTCGAAAGTTTCCATTCATTTGCAGAGACATCTGCAGTTACTTTCATAGGAAGATAGAGGAATTGCAGCCAGCACTTAACTACCCACAAGGGCTGCAGGGCCTGGGGCAAGGCCTTCGGGCTGTCCTCCCCACTGCGGGTGTTACTTGGCTGCTCAGGTTTGGAGGGGGGAGCAATGTAGGGACGACCTTTAAGAATCCTGGGGTATCCCGCCGGAGACGAGATGTGTATTTTTGCCTCCAAAGGACACCTGTTCAGAGAGGTAGCTATTGACCCTGAGTGCCTGGCTTTACTGGCCAGTTCTCCCTGTGAAGGCCTTCAAGTGTTCGAATACTCTGCCATTTATTTTCTGAAGATAAGAGATCTGTTTGCAGAACAAAATAGGGAGAGCGTGATATGGGGGGAAGATTACTTAAAAGTTCAAACCAGGAAACTTGCACAGCTCCGGCAATAATGCTTTATTTTATAGCAGTTAATTGTTTTTAAAACATTTTCACCACAAAAGGCAGCGTAGTGTGGTGTAATAAAGATAATAGGGGCCACTTTTGTCATTCATAATGAGAGCCCTTAGCTATGATTGTGCGCTGCCCGTAAGCGCCTCCTGTTCCCAGCACTTTGCCTGTGTTTTCTCATTGAAATCTCCCAAGGATCCTATGAATTAGTCTCCCCAGTTTACAGATGAGGACACTGAGACCCAGTGAGCTGGAGTAAGTCACCACCCTCACCTGGTAAATGGCAGGACTGTGGTCTCCCCGGCCCCAGGCACTCAGGCTCTGGGGCTGATGCTTTTAAATTTTTTTCTCTTTCGAGTTCACATTCTTAAACTTTCCCATTGCAGTAGTTGGTATTTTGAGTTTTTGCTGGGTGCCTGGTATGGGTCCAAGCCCATTATGTCATCTCTCTGAACACTCACGACAGTTCTGTCAGGTAGGTTTTATTTTCTCTATTTTCTAGAAGAGGAAACTGAAGCTCACAGAAGTTAACAACTAGCCAGGGTCACAAAACGAGTAAAGGCCCTAGGCTTTTAAAGACCGTGCTCTCAGCCACTATGATGTAGCTTCAGGGCTTGAACAGATGATATAGAATCAGAAGATCCCACTCAGGCTCAGCTCCATCACTTCTTGACAGTGTGAACTTGGGCAAGTTGCGTAACTTCTCTGAAGCTGTTTCCACTCAGGTTCCTATAGTGGCTGTGGCTGGAATGATTCCCCCATTTTACACCAGGAGGAATTTGTAGCGGCGTGCTTCAGAAATCATGGGCTCTGAAATTAGGCTGCCTGCTGCTGACGTGCCTTGTGACTTTAGGCAAGTTTGTTTAACCTCTGTCAGCCTCAGTTTACCCATCTGTAAAATTAGGGTAATAATAGTGGCTACTTCAGAG